ATCTATCTATCTATCTATCTATCTATCTATCTATCTATCTATCTATCTATCTATGGGATTTTTTAGAATGACTTCCAAGCTGTGGTTCAGGTAATCCAAGAATCTAGTACTTTCCCAGTCCACAAGACTGGATGTCTCACCTGGTCTTTAATATATGCTGGAATCCTAAAGAAGTAGACTCTAATGCCAGTGAAGGAATGGACTCGCTAGCACTAAAGAGCAGGCAAAGAACAAAAGCTTCCTTTTTCCACGTCCTTACAGGGGCTTCCAGCAGAAGGTGTGGCCCAGATTTTATCTGGATTAAATATCTGCATTAAAGGTGTGTCTTACTATCTCAAGATCTGGAATGAAGGTGTTTCATTTGCAGCTCAAATCATCTGGATTAAAGGTTATGTCTTCCCAGCTGAAAAGATCTGACTAAGGTGTGTTTTTCTGACTCAAAGATCTGGATTAGATGTAATCAAGTTATCTACAAGAATAGTCATCACAAGTCCGCCCTTGTCAACTTGACACATAATTATCTCCTATTTGTAAAGAATTCATTTGTGAAGATATTTGTGTTTTTCTTCTGAATTTCTTTATCATGCAATGTGACATCAATTAAGAAAATAGCAATAGTTAACATATTTAACTTTAGATACTATTAGAATGTTCCTCAAGGAACATTGCCACCTATTCTAAATTTATAATGTGGTTTTGGTTGTGTAGGGATAGTTATATCATGTTTAGGCATTATTATGACATAGTTATTATTTTCATCTGGAAATTAATCAACATATAAGGTTATGTGTCAAGTCGACAAGGGTGGACTTGTAATGACTATTCTCATAGTCAAGTTGACTACATCCAATTCAGATCTTTGAGTTAGGTAAACACATCTTTAATCCTCTTTGAGCTGGGAAGACACACCTTTAATCCACACACAAATGGCGTCCACACTTACAGAAATACATTACAGTTACATGTTTAAAAAAAAACTTTAAGGGAAGCAATAAAATCATAAAGCAAGGCTCACATGCCCTCACCAGTGTACATCTCCACTAGATTTCCCTGCTTTCTTGTAGATGTCAATGAGGAAGAACACTAACAAGAATATGCAGTTCTTGCTGGGAGGCATACTCTAGCAAAATGATTACATAACTTGAAACTTTTTCTTCCCACCCCACCTGATGCAGTGCTCCAAAACAAGGCTGCAAACATAAGTGGCGGAAGAAATGCGATGATTCCTAAGCAAGGAATTAGAACTGTGGTTTTGTTTTTAAGGTGTCTATTGCTCTTCTGTCCCATTTGTTCTCAAATTCCTGAGGAGCCCTCCCACTTCATTCTCCATCCATTCATATGCATCCATCCATTCATCCAACTATCTGTCTGCTCAGAAACACGAACATCTATGCATCTGTCTCTCCATCTGTCTGTTTCTGTATCCATTTGTCTAGCCGTATATCCATGAATCCACTCATCCATTTTTCTGTCTGTACATCCATACATCTAGGGTTCACTGGACCCTACACCCATCTGTCCATCAGTCTACCTATACATACATACACTTGTCCATATTTCTGCCCATGCATATATCCAATTGCCTGTCTATCCACGTATCCAGGCATCCATCTCTCTTCCACTTTAGACCCTAGTCAGGTGTGCGGGCCTTTGTTAGACTGGCCATGCCCTTGTCTGCTTCACATCCAATATGGATCTTTTTATTCGATGCTTCCAGAAACTTTGTATGTGGCTCTAGTAACACCATGGTTACAGGGAGAATCTTCCCTGAAGCCTTCATCCATAATACCACCCACAGTGTGTGTGTGTGTGTGTGTGTGTGTGTGTGTGTGTGTGTGTGTGTGCCCTATGTGTCTGTGCAGGTGTGCATATCTATTTACATGTAGAGGCTAGAGGAGGATGTTGAATGTTCTGCTCTGTCATGCTCTGACTTGGTTATCTGAAGTAGGGGTTTTCACTGAACCTGAGCTAGACTGGATGTCAACAAAGCCATCAATCTTCCTGTCTTTCATCCCTGCCCCTGCCCCATGCTAGGGTTACAGGAACACAGGAGAGGGAGCAGGCGTGTTTTGCTTTTTTACAGGGTGCTGGGGTCTCGGATTCTGGTCCTCATGCTTGCACCATAGGCACGCGTCCTCACTGATCCATCTCTTCAGCACCCTTTTCACTTTGAAATGTTGAAAGCCATGAAACTGAGTGTTCCAGGGTTCGCTGGACCCTACAGCAACCAAATCATCATGCCCTATAACTGTGCAATGAGACCTGTGCACCAGAAGACTGGGATGAAATAGCTCCCCCAAGAGCTTGTAGCTGCTATAAAAACCACAAATGTAAAGAAAGAACAAAGCTGAAAGCCAAGAGATGCCACCTCCTGCTACCAGGTCTTGGATTGACTTGTAGACCCAACAGCTCTGACAATTTGCAGAGAGAATTCATCATTCTGACACTTCTCCTGCTCAGATCCCTCCCAGCTACCTGGAAGTGGTCAATGAAACCTAGGAGAAGCTCCAGATAACACACCAACCCAGCAGGAATGGCTGCAGGAGCACAGTTACACGCCCACGTGCCTCAGAGGTGCTTCAAGAGGTTTCTGAGTTGAACCAAGGAGATCAGGGCCAGTGTGAGGTAAGTGAAAGTAGCCACAGCCCCTTTCCATCAGCTGCCTTCTTGTCGTGAAAAAATGATAGTGCTCTTAGTAATACTGAACCACACCTGATGAGAGAAGATGAAGCAATTCATTCTTCATATGCCTGACTCCACTGTATTTCATGGGAAAATGTTGGGAAATTAATGTAAAAAAGGAAGACTGTCTCAATGGGGATTTTGGACTAAGCTTTTTGAATTGCAGTCATACAAGAACCACACCTCAGAAGTAGAGAAGACAAGGTAGCCTTGAATCCCCGCTCTCGGTTTTTTGTTTGACATCGGGTCTCTATTTTCTCTTCCGTATTTGACTGTACTCCCTAAGGCTGTGTGAGGAGAGACACAAATTAACACTGTCAGATGCAAGCCCCCAGCATACATTAGCTGGGGTTTTTTTTTGTTTTTGTTTTTACTACTCTTTGTTTGCTTGTTTGTTTTGGAAGACAGGGGCTCACTACATAGTTCTGGCTGTCCTGCAACTCCTTACATAACTCAAGCTGGCCTTGAACTTACAGACTGCTTGGAGCTCACTCTGCCTACTGTCTTTGCCTCTCAAGGGCTGGAATTAAAGGTGTGTACCACTATGCCTGGATAACATTAACTGTTATTAAAACACTACCTTGAGCCTCTCTGTTTCAATGTTTTGTTAGTGTGTGTATGTGTGTGTGTGTGTGTGTGTGTGTGTACTTACACTCCCATGTCTATATGTATGATATGAAGGATGAGGAGCACATGTATCCCACAATGTATATGTGGGAGTCAGAGAACAACACTGGGTACAGGACATCATCTTTCACAAGTTTTAAGATGGGATCTCTTATTTACTACTGTGAACACTGGACTAATTGGAGTGCTGGACTTGTAGATGTGCTCTGTCCTTCCTGGTTTTACATGGACAGCTAAACGCAAGTTCTCATACTTGAACACTTTACTTATCTATTGCATCATCTCAAGAGCTCCTAAAGTAACATACATACATACATACATACACATACACACACACACACACACACACACACACACATATACCAGGTGCTGGCAGTCCTTGAACTGTTATTTTCTTTTATGAATTTTATTTCCTTTTGAGGTAAGTTCTGTTCCTGTTCTCAGAGTCAACAATTGTTATGACACTAAAGATACATTATAGACGTTAGTAATACATTATTTATAAGTTCATACTTTAAATATCTTACATATGTTTCTTTTTCTTTCTCAAATTAGTTTACAAGGTAACAGGTTTTCATATGCAATTTTCCTACATGTTTCATTTTGGTTCATTTTCTCCCTCCTTCCTCATTTTGTTTTGTGAGGTTTCACTATGTAGATTTGATCTCATGGACTAGTCTGTGGATCTTGAGAGTAACACTATAGACCAGCAAGTAAGATATGCCATTGGCACAAACCTTTTATGGAAGGACCCAACCGTTTTCTGGATTTGATGCTCACTTTACAGGAAGGAACTCATGACTGGCATTGCAAACCTATCAAAAACTATATGCTGCAGTAATGGTTGCTTTTATAAATGTTGAGCACATCAAATTGCCTTCTAAATAATTATGTTTATATTCATAGATTATTGTTGATGTTTGCTTTAATCAGAGGTTTCTTTTTCAGTGGGGTAACTTCAGAGACTCAATTGATCAAAGTGATGAAAATCAGTGGCTGTTGATATCTCAGCTCTAAACAAGACATCTACATCATCCTCTCCAAGGCTAGGAAACATAGAAGAGGGAGCAGAAAGGATGTAAAGCCCAGGTAAAAAGGCGAAGAGTGTTATAAGATCCTGCCATGAAGTCCTACCCACCCCTGAGGATTGATAAGACAGTTAATGATTGCTGAGAGAGAGAGAGATTTTTTTTCGTATGGAAAAGTACCCAAACCTTGTAAGCCACTCTTATTAAAACCCATTGGGTCACAAAACAAAAAGGTCAGGAAAGAAGAATTGGTAGAGGAAAGAGATCAGCAGAAAGAGAAGGTGGACAACAGAGTAATGGAGGGGGGCGATGAATATGATCAGAATACATTATGTACACATAAGGAAAACATAAAAGTGAGAGTCATAATTATGCCTAGTTAATATATGCTAATAAAAACATTTGAAAACTAAAAGTGGGCCTGGAGAGAGAGCTTAGTGTTTGAAAGCACTGGCTGCTCTTCCAGACACACTGGGTTCAATTCTCAACACCCACAAAGTGATAACTCTGTAACTCTAGTCCCAGAGCACCCAATACCCTCTTCTGCCTTCTAAGGGCACTGCATACAAATGGTGCACAGATACACATCCAGGAAAAACACCCATACAGATAAAAACAAAAAAATTAAAATATATTTTAAAACCTTGGTATATATATATATATATATATATATATATATATATATTCATGCAATGTTTGCTCTTTGAAGTCAGAGTCCCACAGGGACAATGACCCACTCACATGTTTAGAGTTTAAGTCTGACTGGTTCAAACCAACAATGGTAAAATCATTCCTTTTCTAGAACTGACCAAGTCATGGCCATGTAACATGCCCCATGCAATATGTGGGCTAGGTAAAGTAAAGAATATGTATTGTTCATCTTCAGTTCATTTGCACATTCATGGGAACAGTCTGTGTAGTGTCACACAAGGATAGTGGAGACAGGAAAGCAAGGCCAGCCTCAGCTACATAATGAATCTGAGGTCAGTCTTGTCACAAAATATAAAATGAAACAGAATAAAACCTATTAAGGGGCATCTCTTATTTACTTGGTGAAAATGGCATCACACACCATTAGAAGCTAGCTGCTAGGTCTGAAAGTATACTTGTTGAAAGAAAATGACAGCTTAGATGTTTAGTGGAACAGTAGATGTTTGGCGGGAAAATGGGGTAGAGGTAAATTTATTCAAATTGAACATCCCACAGAGGAGTTGCATCAGAATACAGTGAGAAAAGTAAAATTACAAGAAATATAAAAAAATATTTAAACCAAGAATGGTGACACATGCCTGCAATCCTAGTACTCAGAAGCCAAGTGCAAGATTAGCCCAGGCTACACAGTACATTTGAGGCCAGTGTGCTATACAGTGAGACGCTGTCTCAAAAATAGAAGTTAGATAAACAGACAGGGGGCTGAAGAGATGGCTTAGCAGCTAATAGCACTGGCTGCTCTTCCAAATGGCTTGGGTCCAATTTCCAGCACTCACATGATAGATCATAACTGTCTGTAATTCCAGTTTCAGGGGCTCCAACACCATCTTTTGACCTCTGTGGATACGGCACAATGTACATGCACATGTAGACAAAACACCCATAAATATAAAATAAATATATATAAATCTTAAAAAAACAGACCCCCCAAAAGATAGAGGGGTGGGATATGGCTCAGTTGTTAGGGTGTTTGCCTAACCATGCATGAATCCTGGGTTCTGGCCCCATCCCTGCATGAACCAGACAGATGGAATACACCTGTAGTTTCAGCCCGTGAGGAGTAAAGGAAAAAGTAAATTGGAAAACATTTGATAGCTGACTCTCTTGTTGGAGATACTCATTTGTAGCATTTGATAACTGATTTTTAAAAATCTCTTGTGTTATGTTTATATTTGCTCATTTTTTTATGGAGGTTTGGAGCAGAAGGGATAGAAAAATGAACTCGAGAACCTCTTGTTTTATATAGTAGAGTGGCTTCCAGGAGCCGAGATTTGTAGATAGACAAGGACAAGTAAAGTAGAAACAACAAAAAGTGGATCAGTCCATTTTTACCTGACCCTGCTGCATATTCAAGTTCCCCTCATTCTTCAGGGGACTCTGCAGCTATCCAAACAGGAAACAAAAACAAGGGATCAATTTTCCCCCTTTATTAATTAATTAATTTAGTTAGTTAGTTATGAAGAAGGTTGCATGTAGCCCAGGCTGGCACCAAACTCACTTCGCAACAGAGGATAACCTTAAATTTCTAATCTTCCTGTCTCTACCTCCCAAGTTCTGAGATTACGGGGGTTCATCACCGTACCTGGTCTTACACAGTTCTGGTCACCAAACCCAGGGCTTCATACATGCTAGACAATCACTTAATCAACTAAACTACATTCCCAGCCCAAACAAAATAGTTTCTAAAACAGATCATAAATAATGAGGCCAAGGATTCATAATTTACAACATGGCTGCCCTGTGCTTACTTACTAGGCCAAAGTTACCTGATATGTCCAGTCAAGGAATTAAAACCTGGCTGGTTAGAGGAGCCATGGCAAGACCAAGGCATGGATAATTTTATTGAGAGCAATCAGACTTTTTATAACTTTATTAGAAACAGACTATAGTAGCTATTGCCGGGATCAATAACATTGTAGTTGCCAGGATACAATGACTTTTGCATGCTATGCAAGGCACAGTTTCCATCCTTCCTTGACTTCTAGGGAACATGCAGAGGAACACAATATGGCCTGGCCGCTTCCCTGCCTGAGAGAGTGCATCGTTCTCTCAGGAACTGAAAGGCACACAGTGCATCAGGAGTCACAGACTCTAACCTGAAAAACCGATGGAGTATGCCTCTGAAGGCAACGAGGTCAGGCCAACTCCATGTTTCCCTGCAGGGGCCATTGCTGTTTCTGCAGTTAGAAAGATGAAGAATCCCAAGAAAGTACAGCCTGAGTCAGGTGGGGAAAGTTGGAATCCTGGGGTCATCTGAATAGACAATTGGATGGGGTCATGGGAGGGGTGAGTAGGATTGCAGGGGCCTGGCAGCTCTGGGCTGCTGACTCTGTCCAGGGTGGGCAGGCAATGATCAGGGTAGGATTTGAGTTCTGTGTAAGTTTTGGAGGGAAAGTGGAGTTAAGTTTGCAAGAAAGGAAATATTGTGACCCTGGGACACCAAATTAGGAGATGAGTTGTTTGGATGATGGGGGTGGTGTCATTAGATTAGTGTCAAAGAACTTGTTAAAAGACAGAATCGCAAACAACTTTAAAGAATTGATGTTGATGTTAAAAGAGTTGATGGTGGCTGTTTTAAGGATCTTAACTGGCTTCTATTCACAACTCTAGAACCAGGCAACAGGTTACTCTTATTTTATACAGTAGAGTGGCTTCCAGGAACTGAGGTTTTAAATAGACAAACAAGTAAAGTAGAAACAGGAAAAAGTGGGTCAGTTCATTTTTAACTTTTCTAAATAGGTATGCCTTTTTTTAAAAATATTTATTTATTTATTATATATACAATATTCTGTCTGGGTGTCTGCCTGCAGGCCAGCAGAGGGCATCAGATTTCATTTCAGATGGTTGTGAGCCACCATGTGGTTGCTGGGAATTGAACCCAGGACCTTTGGAAAAGCAGGCAACGCTCTTAACCGCTGAGCCATCTCTCCAGGCCCTGCCTTTTTTTTTTAAACAACTGAATTTCATAATATTTACTGAAATTTTGCTTTTTTGGTTCTAAAACAGTAGCGGCTCTTCTTTCCAGAAAAAGAAGGTAGGCCGCTTAAACTTAGAAAATGTTGTGGTGTGCAGACACTCATTTGATGAGACGTCAGCCATCTGCCACATCCCAGCTCAATCCAGCAGTGGGTTGAAGCACACTGTGGCGGGGTAGAAGGTATTTTTTTTTTTTTGGACAGATTCTAATTTGACCCTTTGTAGTGGATGGGATATCCTTTACCTCAAGATGAGAGGGAGGTATGTTAGAAATCTTTTCTGGAGTTTCCTGCATCTTCTGAAGTATGAGGAGTCACATCAGAATCTCAGAGAAAAGTGGCTGCATAAGCAAGGATCATCATACCAGGAACTAGGGGGAAAACCTATGGACATGCATGTCCCTGGTGAGCAGTGCAGTTGACCACCACAGTGTCTGCTCCAGACACTTCTGCTCTGTTACCTAGTTTTTAAATTTACTTCCGATTTTATTTTTTACATTTGAACTAATCATATTTGACATGAAAAGTATTCCCTGATCACTGCGTTTTTCTCTATTACTCCATCCTAGACATATGACTAATGATTCAAATTGCTATCCTGACTTTTGGTTTTTAATACAATCAAGACTTTCTTCTTGGACAGCTCTATAGTGGTGCTCTGTTAGGCCTTAGGGATGGCACAAAAGGTCAAGTACACTTGCATATTGAATGCATGGATTCCAGGAATAAATTGCACACCTGCCACTGTTATTCATCACTTCATGCTGAGGCATGAAGCAAGCACACCCTCCCGCAGTGGGATAAGACAAGGATATGGATTGTCTTGTCAGACAGCCATCTGAAAAGATCTTCAAACCGAACACCCGCTTGTGTACCAGCATATATAGGGCGGCAGCAGATGGGATGGCCCATCTCTACTTCCAGGCTTCAGAGGTGCTTCAGACCCATCTTCAGAGGAGGTGAGAGCCTAGGTCTTTGTGCTCAACTGTGTAGGTAGTACCTCAGAACTTTGCTATCAGTGCTGTGTTTATTTCTCTAACCCAAGTGCTCTTACCTCCTGGCTTCCTTAGAATAATAACCTTCTATTAGACTGGGTAGTGGTGGGGTATGCCTTCAATCCCAGCACTTGGGAGGCAGAAGCAGGCAAATCTCTGGGTTCATGGCTAATGTGGTCTACAAAGTGAGTCCCATGACAGCCAGGGCTACACAGAGAAATACATAACAGGAAGAAAAAAAAATCGCCTTCTATTAGGAATTGAGTTGCATTGGTGCTTATTGGAATATTTGTTTATGTATTTTGCAATACTGGGGACTGGTCCAAGGGCCTTGCTCATGCAAGTGCTCTCATTGAACTATATCCCCAGCCCTGGTGCGTTTGATTTCTCCAATTCTACATATTCCCTGACTTCTTTTGTGAACAAGGCAAGTATCATATGAAAAATAATGAATTAAAGGAAGGCACAGACATGGCACACCAATTGGTTATCAAATACCAAATGATCAGTACTGAAAACATACATACAATAAACGTTATATGGACTAAGGTTATATTTAGGAATATGTATGTATATATATATGTATATATATGTATATGTACAATAGCAATTAATGAAAAAATGGAACATGAAATCGAAAGAAATATCTCTCCTTCCCCTTTCTTCACTCCAAACCCATATTACATTATAATCTCAAAAATTAAAAGTAAAAAAAATTGTAGACACCCACAGTTGAGACTTTGAATATTTAAAGAGACAGGAGTTTTAGAGAGACTTTGAAGTTTAAGAGAAAATTTAGAGTTTGAGGAGTACTTTGAATATTTTAAAGAAACTGAATTTTTAAAACTTTCAAAAGCTGGAAGGTGCTTTATTGTATCTATGTGACTAATAGATACAAATACTAATATTTGTATCTATGTGACTTCTTGGGAACAAAGGAGAAAGGAAAGGTTGTATGTCAAGTTGACAGGAAGTCAGCTATTTCAGTTGTTTTGTCAACTTGACATAAACTACGGTCATTTTAAAGAACGCTCAATTGAGAAAATGCCACCATAAGATTGGCTTTAGGCAAGTCTGTCAGATGTCTTCTTGATTAATGATTGATGTGGGAGGACTCAGCCCACTGTGGATGGTGCTAACCTGGGCAGGTGATCCTGGGTTGTAGAAAATGGACTGAGGAAGCCATGAGCAAGCTAGTAAGCAGTACTCTTCCATGGCCTTTTCTTTGGTTCCTGTCTTCAGTTCCCTGCCTGTCTCTCTTGTTCGGACTTCCCTGACTATTATAAACTGAAATACCTACCTCCAGAGGCATCAAAGATGCAGATACAGAACAGGCTCATCATTAGCTTCATAAGGAGACAGTTCCTTCAACATAGAGATTTAAAAAACATTCAGGAATAAAACTCAGTCTTGTCAGCATGCTATCAAATGTAACTCATTGTCTGACTGAAAATTAAAACTTTCATCCTAGCCGGGCAGTGATGGCACATGCCTTTAATCCCAGCACTGGGGAGGCAGAGACTGGCTGACATCTGTGAGTTCGAGGCCAGCCTGGTCTACAAGAGCTAGTTCCAGGTCAGGCACCAAAGCTACAGAAAAACCTTGTCTCTAAATAAATAAATAAATAAAAGCTTCATCCTTCCCCACAACCATTATACTTCTTGTGCAGCTTCTGTCACTGATACTGGAGGGGCTAATGAAGATGGATGCTATAAAGTAATCCCATTCTAGCTCAGAACTGAGTATAATAGGGGCATTTATTTAGGTTATTTATTTAGGGGTAGACTCAAAGATCACAGACCTCTGCACGAACGGGAAACAGAAACTGAATCCAGAAGTTAGGAGAAAGAACGTCCAAGCTTTATGCCTGTATTTATACTATAAGAGACCATGCCCAAATGGGCTGGTATCTTAAAGGCTATTGGCTGAAAGAGTTACCACAGCATCACCCTCTTTTGTCTAAATAAGAGAGTTCAAAGCCTAATACAAAACTATACATAATAAAAGCAAATATCAAGTATAAAAAATAGAATTACAACCAGCATACACAATACCAAAAAGAAACATATGCTAAATGTTTCAATAATTATCCTACTCTAAGTCTTGGATTAGAAATGGCTTGGCAAAGTCATGAGCGGAAAGTAACTACGACTTTCTAGTCTTCAACCCCATCAAAGACCTGAAAAGTGAAATATTACTTGAATAAACAGGAGGTGCAATCAAGCAGCTTCCAAAATGTGCAATAAATGGCAGAGACAACTGGTTACCTGAGCAATCACCCAAAGTCTCATTTGCAACACTGGAGCAACCACCTTTGGCTAAGGCCTAGAGTAACTGACAGACTATTTTCAGAGGCAAGAAAATTTTCAAAACCACCTTACCCAGTCTTGACCTATGATTCTTAATACATATATAGCTTAAAGACTAAGACTTCATATTAGAATATTAAATAATCTTTAAACAACTGTGCAGCAAACAAGGACAATGACCTCAAAATGTAAACAATGTATAAGCAGCTTGATCAGAGGTAGAAATGCAATATGATAAATATATCCTAAAATTATATCAATATATAAACTGTCTTAAGCAGAGATAGAAGCATGCATGCATACAATATGACAAAATAACTTTGCCTAAGTGTACAAATATTGTAAACAGAAATAGGAGCATATTCAATATGACAAACATAATTTGAATTTGTATCAATATACAAGAATCTATACTAATGTAAATTGCCTATAAATAATAATAGCTCACAAACATTTATTATTTACTATTATTATTAGTGTAAGTAAGCTCACACTAATCTATTTCATCAGAGTTCCTGCTTCATGAAAGAGTCTGTCAGACATTCTGCAGGACACAGAAGAAAGTGACTGACAAACTGCCAATATAAGTGGAACTGTCTTTAAAATTTTCTGATTCATGAAAAAGTCTGCCAAATACTATGGGTTTGTAGGCTGAAGGTGGGTGCTCTAAAGGTACAGAAAAACTTTGGGTGACTGTCCAGGCAGGGAGATGTCTCTGTCAATTCTAGAGTTTTGGAGTTGCTTACAATGCACTTCCTGTTAACTTAGATAATATTATATCCTTCTCAAGTTTTTGATGGAGTTGAAGAATAGTTTTAATTTTCCTTAGTTATGATAAAAGATAAAGTAGATATAAATATTGTAACTATAATTCTTACTTGATAACTGTTTTGTTGTATGTAATCTTGTATGTTAAAGTTAAAACCTTCCTTTTTATTTAGACAGAAAAGGGGAGGTGATGTGGGAGTCCCCTCTGTATGCTGTGAATACCATTGGTTAATAAAGAAGCTGCTTTAGGTCTATTGCAGAACAGAATAGGGCAAGGTGGGAATTCAAAGCAGACAGACAAGGAGAGAATAGGCAGAGTCAGAGGGAAGTTATGTAACCACCTGAAGGAGACAGATGCCTGAGAACTTTACTGGTAAACCATGAGCCTTTGTGATAAAATTATAAAATAATTTTAAAAATAGGTTAATTTAAGATATAAGAGCTAGCTAGAATACGCTTGATTGGCTAAGCAGTGTTTTAATTAATACAGATTATGTGTGATTAGTTCAGGTTTGGGCAGCCAGGACACTAACAAGCAGATTCTGCCATTAATACTATTTCTGTGTGATTATTTCAGGTCTGGGCGGCCGAGAAACAAACAAGTGGTCTCCGCCTACAAGCTTACCTGCCTCTTTCCCTTGTTTTCTATTAATAGAAAACAGAATACATTCGTGTTCACAGATATGTCCCAGGCAAGCAAAACACACCTTGATGAACTCCAGATAAAACGTCTGGAGGAGATGTGTATTGTCATTGACAAGCAGGATCAGATTATTGGAGCTGAAACCAAGAGAAACTGTCACCTAATGGAAAACATTGAGAAGGGTGAGCTGGAAAGAGGATGCCATGGGCATCCAGACCTGGTGCCATCAGACACTCTCTGAACAAGGCAGTGTGGGGAGGAAAGTGTCCAAAGTGTACCACTGCTGCTGCTGACTTGATAAGAACACTTACCTCAATGAGTTAAGTAACAGGGACTGTCAATGCTACCTTGAAGTGGGCTGGGAGAGTCAGGAATTGAAACCAAGATGGGTGTGGTTATGCACAACTTTAATGTCAGTATAGAGGTAGAGTCAAAGGTATCGCTCTAAATTTGAAACCAGCTCCAGGCCTGTCTGGTCTATCTAGTGATACCTAGTCTCCAGGAAGAGGGGGTCAGGGAGGCACTTCATTGGAAGCACTCTCAAGGAGTGTCTCATGTATCATAACTTCCAGGGCATAAGCAGTCACTCTGTGCCACTGAGTCATCCATCCTTCTGCATAGGGTGGCAAAAGTAACTACAGTTATTTTGAGACCATAGGTTTAGAATCACACAGTAGGGTCTAAGAATTGGGCTACCTAGCATGGCTTACTTTACTTCTTGAATCTTCAATTTTTATGTTTACAAGTGGAAGAAAACTATAGTACAATATTACTGTGGGTAAATGAATACTGAATATCACCAAATGCTAAGCAACTGATGTAGACTCTATCCCAGCAAGGAGCACCAGCTCCTCTTAGTGCCACCATCCTGAGCTGGACAAGAATGAAAAATACGAGAAGGGAATGCTCATGTAGACTCTGTGTTGATTTCCATGTGGCCCTAACTCAAGCTCACACACTTTACAGGCCTGTTACACCGAGGCTTCAGCGTCGTCCTCTTCAACACCAAAAACCAGCTCTTGGTCCAGCAGAGAGCAGATGCCAAGTACACATTTCCCGGTGAGCCACCCAGGTGAAATCCGGGGAGCACTGGATTCTAACTTAGGCTTTGGGAAACTGAGAGGAGTGGTAGTGGACAAACCTATCAGAGCACCACCCCCATCAGCCCCACTCCAACTGGAGATACAGGGACATTAAATCACAAGCATTTTGCAACTGGAATTGAGTTATGGAATTTTATATTCTAGTATTTGTGTAATAGAACTGATACTGATAAGTCAGAGTTGAAGCTACTTTATATACTAACTATGGCCAGGAAGAAAACTGCTTTTTTATTTACTGAAAGGGCACACTTCATACAGTAGCATATTGCACATTTTCCCCAGGACATTTTACAGACTCCTGTTCTAGTCACCCTTTATACGTGCCCGATGAGCTGGAAGAGAATGCCTTGGGAGTGAGGAGAGCAGCCCTGAGACGCCTGCAGGCTGAGCTGGGCATCCCTCAGGAGCAGGTATGGGACTCCAGTATGGGACTCTGAAGTTTGTCATGTGTTCAAGGGTCTGTTAATAGTTATAACATGACTGCTGTCAATTTCACCCATCAAAGTGCTATGACTCAGGCTAGCTGCCTTTCTTGTGGAAGTGCCTCCAGTCTGGCCCACAGGGCAGGCTGTGAAACAAATCACTGTACTGAAGCTCAAGTGTTTCTCATTTCCATTCTCAAAAGATATCTTTCCCACTCTTGTATGTCCCAACATACAGACCTGTTTGGCCTCATGTCCTGTATACACGTGGTCTTCATGTGCCGCCGTCAATGTGACCTACCTAACATTTAACTAAAGCTTAAATGCTTTGTGTGGCACTCTGGGAAAGGGAATGAACTCTTTTCTATCTAAATTCTCATTTTCTCTTATTGAATTAATACTACATCAACTTTGACACAGATTTGCATAAAGGACATAATTTTTATGAACCGAATCTACCACAAGAGTCCTTCTGATGACATCTGGGGAGACCATGAGAATGGCTATCTTCTGCTGGTGAGGAAAGACCTTGTGCTGAACCCAGACGCCAGGGAAGTAAGAAGCTACTGCTACATGAGCCTGGAGGACCTGCAGGAGCTCCTGGACAGGGGAGCCCTTGGAGAAGTGAAGATCACCCCGTGGTTTAGAACCATCATAGAAGGCTTCCTGTTCCCTTGGTGGCCTTCTTTAGAGGATGTGTCTCCATTCATTGAGCCTGACAAGATATATGGACTGTGAGCAATATGGAAAAGTAATGTTCACAGCAGGTGATGGAGGAGGGTTATCTGTCTATTGTGTTATTTTCATTGGTCAATAAAGAGACTGCCTTGGGCCCTTGATAGGACAGAAAATTAGGTAGGCGGAGTAAACAGAATAGAATGCTGGGAAGAGGGCTATGAGCCAGACGCCATGGAGCCAGCCACCAGGTCAGACATGATGAATCTTTCCCGGTAAGCCACACCTCGTGGTGTGATACAGATTAATAGAAATGGGTTAATATCAAGATATGAGAGTTAGTCAGTAACTAACTCTCTAGAGATAATGGGCCAGGCAGTGCTTAAATGAATACAATTTGTGTGTTGTTATTTCTGGGACTAAGCTAGCCGTGTGGGAGCCGGGTGAGGCGAAAAGCAGGCCTGCCCGCAGCCGCCTCACTACA